GCATCGACATGGCTCAGGGAGCCATTCATTCACCAGTGGATTAACAAAGGGAAAACAAAAATTATCGTTATTCAAATTATATTGTTTTTTTAAATAAAATTGTCTGCTTTGCTGGTGTTAGCTTTATTGCAGCATCGCAGAACCATGATAGATGGTGAGGCCTTCATCCAGCAGTGAATGATCATGGCTGACGACGATGGCGGAGATGGATTGTAATCATCATTGACCATCCGAGGAGTGCGGGCCGCACGTATTTTTCTCGCTCCCACCGCCGCCACCGCCGCCACCACCACCCCTGCCACCGCCACCACCACCCCTGTCACCAATACCACCACCGCTGCTACCAACACCACCGCCACCACAACCAGCACCGCCACTGCCGCCACCACCACTGCCACCACCGCCACCACCACTTGTCACACCACGTCTCGAGTGCCACGGGGGTAGAGTTACGGGCGGCGCTGTCGTCGGCCCCGGCAATTAAATATCTCTATTTCTGGAGGACACCCCCAGGGCGCTAGTCGTGCAGGTCGCGCCGAGCGAGAGGATTGGCGAGCCATCGAGGGAGCGGGCGTGTGGGTTGCGTTGACAAAAGGGCCAGGAGAGGCGGGCGAGCGGGAGAACGGGAGAGCGAGGGGGCGAATCGGCGGACGGTAGGGCGAGCGGGCGAGTGGGTGATATGAGGTGAGATGGCACGTGGGTGAAAGGGAGAGTTGGGCGGACAAAGAGTGCCTGGGTGAGCGATAGGGCAGTTGGTGGGCGAGGGAACGAGAGGGCACGTGGGTGGGTGAGGTGACAAGTGGGTGGGTGATCGGGCAGGTGAGCATGTCGGAAGACGAGCTGGTGACAGACCATGACACAATACCGCTCCTGCTGTCTCCAGCTGGACCACTCGCAGCAGGAGCACCATCCTCACACTCCTCTCCTCATTTCTCCTCCCGTCTCTCATCTCCGTTTGTGCTCCTCGCTCTCTCTGCACACAGATCCGCACTTGGGCTTTATTTGCCACTCCTCTTTGAAGTTTTAGTTGGGTTATAATTTGCGTTCATTCTGTCGATGTTTGTAACTGACGATCGCAGGTTTCATAAAGTTGAGAAGCACGAATTCTGCAGTGTGTGAGCACGTCTAAGTCTGCGATAAATTTAAAATCTAATCTCAACCTCTTGGAGTTTCATATATTACCTTGTATGTTAAGACTTAGGCATTAGAGCATTGGACCCGATTTATGATGCCTCCCTTATGAAAAGACATTTTTCTTTGCAAAGGTTTTACTCAATGTATTATCTTGTATCTTAAAATGTAGTTAATTTCAAACTATAGAATATTTGTCAAACACGAGCGTTAATGCTGTGTGCTTGCTAGATCAAACAGAGGCAATTTGATGAGTTGCCCCTGCGTGTGGGTGTACTTGTTAATTTATTATTAATAAAAAATAGAAACTGGCCTAAAACATGCGTTTATTAATCTTACATTGCTATATTTTGCCATACCGGAGTTATTCATGAATTTGAAAGTGTTGGGAGTTGTTAAATTTAAGAAACGTTATCTTGCATTATCGAGTTGCACGTTAGCATATATAATACAATGTCGTTAAATGATAATATAATACGAAAGCCAGACTAAAATATTACCGAAAACACGTTTCTCCGAACGCTCCACACTTACATTGCTATATTTTGCCATACCGGAGTTATTCATGAATTTGAAAGTGTTGGGAGTTGTTAAATTTAAGAAAAGTTATCTTGCATTATCGAGTTGCACGTTAGCATATATAATACAATGTCGTGAAATGATAATATAATACGAAAGCCAGACTAAAATATTACCGAAAACACGTTTCTCCGAACGCTGCACACTTTGTACATCGGCATCAACCCATCGCTAATAAATAACATAATAATTTATGATCCTTTGTCAGTCCGCCATTGGATATGGGGGGGTAGGGGGGGTGTTGTTTGACCATACTTTACCACGCTGGTCAATGAACGTTCGTGAAAGGGGGATGCCGAGGTCCGGTTCAGCCGTGGCTGGCTGGGTACGGAGCCCGGCTCGTCGCGTTCACGGTGCAGTGCGCCAACCGCTGGGCGGCCACCGCTCTCACCGCATGTACCGACTGCTCTTCAGTGAATCGCATCGGAGCTAAATCGCATCCGCAGCAAGTGAATCTCTCACAGCCAGCGGGATACCACGTGCGGTACACGTGTGTGTGTATATATTTATAGGTTGTGCGTAAAACTCGTGTTTATTTTAGACGCACGACGGGCAGGTCACAGACACGGGCATTGGGGGTGCAGCCTGAGGCCAGGAGCCAAGCGGGAGACCTCGAGCCAGGCGGTGGGACGCCGCAGGAGCAGACGCCGGAACGGCAGGTGTCGACTTTTGCAACCAAGCGTCGGGTCTCGGAGAGGAACCGAACGGATGTGAAGCTGTGGTGGTCGTCGTTGGCACGAGCCGTGATGACCTCTTGACCTTGATTTTGACGGTTTGAGTGGCCTCAGAAGGCCACTCGTTCATGATGCTGGGACGATCAGGTTGCGCAACCGACTTCAATAGTAATCGACCACTCTTTGTGTGGTCGATTAATTGGGCTTCTGAAACAATATCCCGCCTCCTAGTGGAACGCGGCCGGTGATGCCGATGGCATCGCCAAGCCCCGCTCCTCGCTTCCCGTCCAGCGGCACACGCGTGGGTACAAAGGCGAGGTTGTTATTGTTGTTGTTTTTGTCAATACTTCTCACTGCGAATTTTCTCGCCATCCCCATTCGTCGAGCAACCGGGACCGAGATGACCGGCGGAGTGAATCGGTGGCTCGAGTCATGGGACGGCAGTCCCAACTCTCTCTCGAGCGGCGGCTCCCATCGGAGCGCCACCGCCACCGCCGCCGCCGCCGCCCCGGGAATCCGCGGCGCTCTCTCGCTCTCTATAATTAACGGCCACGCGGCGAAGGCGGTCGGCGGGACGCGCCGTCCCTCCCCCCTCCCCCCCTCCCCCCTCGCCTCCTCCCCCCTCGCCCCCTCCGTGGCCGTTGCAGCCGGGCGGGCGATGGCACTGAACGCGGCACTTTTATTTTAGTTTTGCGTAAAACCCTCGGGGACAACGGCTGGCGGTGGCGTGAAAGGCGCTCGCTGAAAATACGCGGCAAACCCGCCGCGCCTCGATCGCGCCTGACGGCCGCGCGTGCGTGTGTTCATCGGAGTCTCCCGCCTGCGCTCGCGGCGCGGCCTCTGGCCGTTGTGCTCGTCCGCACGGTTCTTGGGAGTCGCGGCGTTGCTTCGTGAGTGTGACGGCGGTGGTGAAGTTTATGCTTGGCAGTGTTTTTAGCTCTCTCAGGAGGAGTGGTGAGTTGCGACCAACAACTACAACAGCGGCAGCGCAATTGAAACACAGCGTTGTGCAAAGTAGTTGTGCTTTATAACGAAAAGTTGTTGCCTGCGGTTGTGTGTCAGTTTTCGCGGATGAGTGCCGTATCTTCGGATTATGACGTCTCCTTATCTCCTGTGTTTTAAAGCAAAATTTTTTATCATGTGGTTAGGTGTGTCTGACCACATTTGTACCATTTTATTGACACAGGGCACAAGATTGCGGCGGTGGTCGCCTTACTTTCCAGAGCGTCTTTGTAATCTCGAGACTATACGGTAACCCTTTCGTGTCCTTTATCAGGGAGGCGCAGTGCGGAGTACCGTTGATCACTGAAATGCATTTTTTTTTCAACCTTTGAGCGTGAATAATTCTGCAGCGGTGTAATGCGTAAGCAGACAACTTGGTTATTGTTTGCCACAGTGCTGTGGTTGTGTCCATAGCACCAATGTTCACCCGAATCGGGTTTTTACATTTTTTATGACTCCGACAAAATATTGTCGTTCTTGGAATTTTATTTAGTCAGCTCAGAGTTAACTGGATTTGTTATCAATTAGTCCTTGAGACATTTACAGTGTTTACTGTAAATGTTTATTAATTATGTGAAGAAAGTTTAGTTTTATTAATGGGAAGTAAAAAAAAAAATCTGCTGGCAGTGATGCGGAATCAAAATGGTCGACTCCTGTAGATTTATGAACGCCACTTCATAATCAGAATATTTATTACTGCAGCTGGAGGAATCCGATAAGCTATGAAGCTCTCTTTTTTTTTTTGCAAATGGCCAGGCGGTGCCATTCATGAAGGTGAATGGCACCGCCACACACATTACCGGGCACCTGTTGTGGGACTCTAACCGTTAACTCGTGTGCCGCGGGGCTCGGTGGCAATTTACCGCAGTTGCCATCGGAGGTGACCTGTTTCGATGCGAATCGCTCACGTAGGTCGCGTGCGAGCTTGTAAGTAAGCATGGCGCCGTGCCCTCTTGTTCCGTTCATACCGGCCGCTAGGGTTGTGCGTTTTTTTGTTTCTTCGTGAAACGTTTCGCCGTCCTTGATTCCCCGTTGCTCCGCCACCAAGCTGCTGCCTTCGTCACAGCTGAGAGCTGCGCGGCTGTCAGGGGGAGAGAGGTGCGCGCGCTGCGTCTCTCCTGGCAGGGTCGGCTGAAAACAAGGTGGCTCGTGCCCTCCGTGACCTGCCTGTGAATATTGCTCTGTGACTGTCTTGCAGTCCAGATGGTCTGTGTGTGTCTGCTCTGTGACTATCTTGCAGTTAAGATGGTCTGTCTGTGTCTGCTCTGTGACTGTCTTGCAGTCCAGATGGTCTGTGTCTCTGCTCTGCGACTGCGTTTCTGACTGTCTCACCCTCTGTGTATGATTATCTCTTTCTCAGTGTGTCTGTCCGTCTGTCTCCATCTGCCCTCTCTGTCTGTATGTTTCTACACCTGTGTGTGTATCCGTCCGTGTCTATCTGTGTGTCCGTCATTCTGCGTGTCTTATCTCTCGGTCTGTCCGTCTTTCGTCTTCCTGTCTGTGTGTCTGTAGTACCATCTATTTGTCGGTCTACGTGTGTGTATCTGTCTGCCTGTGTGTGTGTGTGCGCGTGTTCACCCATATATCTGTCTGCGTGTGTCAACGTGTCTGCAGTGGAGGAAGTTCTGGTTTGTCCTCACGCCCGGCACACTCAAGTTCTACCGCGACACTCCCAGCGAAGAGGTGAGAATCTGCGAGACAGCGGTGCCGCCGACACATTTGGTCAGCGCTCCTTGAAGCCCCGCGTTTAAAGTTTAATCGACTTAAAGCTTTTGTGCCTGCAGGAATTCATATTCTTTGGGTATTTCGGTAAAGTCACGTAGATAGGTTAAAAAAAAAGATTATAAAGTTTAATCGTAAAGTGAATTTAACACGTGACCAATATTATCCATAATAGAGGTTTTTTTGGGTTAGATGGTGTAAATATGTGTCTTTGAACACGCCACCACCCGGCACCGCCAATGAGTGAGGTTTGTCACGTAAACAGAACGTGCCAAAACGAATTGGCATGTTTTGTTTACGTGACAAACCTTCCCAATGGTGGGTAAAGTTAATTATTTTGTGACGAAACATGACAATGATTGTGTGCGCGCATGTGAAGATATGCATGCTGATGTTTAAGGGAATGATTACAGTGCTCACTTCTAATTGTGAGCATTGTTTACATATAGGCATAGAGTGATTTAACAAAAATGGCTTTACCCTTTCTGGCATAAATACAGGAGGTGTTGTTAAGATGTTCAAACACCTCGTACAAGGCATCACGTCTGCATTAACCACACATGCTCGTGGTAAAAAGTAAAACAAATATGCTTTGATAATGTACGCACTGTTCTTCAAATTGTTTGTGTTACACCAGAGACAGCCGCTTTCATGGCTTTGTCTCACCAGTGTTATAGACCAAAAGCCGCCAAAAGGCAACAAGTACAAGGACAATGCAACCACCACAGCATTAGTGGCGCGGATTAAGCAGTTTTAACGTAAGTTTGTAGCTGTAATAATAACAACAATCAAGATGCTTTCACAATGTTCATTGTGATGCATTTGGACCCGAATCAAGACCTATCAGACCCACGTTCCCACACACACTGGCAGATTAGTCCGTGAATTAAACAAAAATCGTGAAGTTGTGTTATTAGCCGGCATTTCAAACGAGACTGTCGAACCGGTGATTACATCGCTCAGTCTGACATCAAAGTAAAGTTAAGGGCTGAACTCGTTTCCTGAAATCCGCCAGTAAATCTGTCTGTGACCCTTGGTACGAATCCAAAATAGCAGCTTGCGTAACGGAGTAGGGGAGAGGACGGGGGTGCTGGGTGGATGGTACGGACGACCGATTTTATTTATGTGCGCGTGAGTGGCGAGGATTGGCGCCAATAACGGTGAAACCCCTGCTGACAGCGAGGCCTTGACGGGCAACGCGCAGCCACCACCCCCGCCGTGCCGACACTCTCCACGGCTCGGTGTCAAGCTGCGCCTTGCTGCCACTAGTGCAGCGGTCGGCGCACCAGCGCTAACGAACCCGGCGACCCAAATTCGATTCCCCTGTCTGAATTGGTCCTGGGCCTCCCCTAGGTCGACTCGGCCTCCAGTATGAGTGCCTGGTGCGATGTATAAACATCGGCCGGGCGTGGTGCTGGCCACCCACCCCCTCGTGGTGTCGTGCCGACCTTCATAGGTGCTGCTCGCTAACAGCACTTGCCCCAACAGTCTGTTAATGCTATACGCGGGGATCGTTGCTCTATTGTAGTTTGTAGGGGTAGTGTCTCCCCGAGCATGTGACGGGGCTGCCTAGCCCACCTGGCAGAGACAGACAAAGCCTCCTGAGACACTGGGACACTGGGACGTAATCCCGGAGCCCCTTCCCCTCACCATGTCCCACTTGAAACTTGGCAGTCCCGGTTTGCGAAACCTGGAAGGTTGAGTTGGATTCCCACGGCAGCATTTACTGGACTGAGCCAGCACCACAACTGGGCCCTGTGGCCCGTTTTTGTTGGTGTTGTAGGCCGCGTAGCTCCATTTCATAGTCGAGCTACACACGCATTGAACTTATTAGCTACACACGCATGGAACCGTGCCATCCGTGGAGCTTGGTGTTTCTATCATGGGAGAAACGTGTGGGGGCACTGGGTAAGAAATGCTCGGCCAGTCTTGTGTTCGTACAAACATTGTCGCAGAATCAGAATGTAGGATATCAACGGATTGTAGATTGGGATAGGATAGCCTACCCCAATCGTAGATCAAACCTTTTCCATATGTTAATTAAACATTAATTTGTTAAGTAAACATTACAATTGCCTCTATACACTGATGGAGAGCAAAGAGCAGAGCCTCGCTAGAGCAGACGAAGAATGGCCTGGCACGGCTAGGGTCTCATTTATCATGGTCACAAAGACATGTCACGCCGATATCTCGAGTCAATGAAGACAGAAACACTCACGCCCTGACACCCTGACACCCTGATATCCTGAGACACTAAGACAGTGAGACCCTGACACCCTGATACCCTGACACCCTGATATCCTGAGACACTAAGACAGTGAGACCCTGACACCCTGAGACCCTGACACCCTGATATCCTGAGACACTAAGACAGTGACACCCTGACACCCTGATATCCTGAGACACTAAGACGGTGAGACACTCATGCCCTGACACCCTGACACCCTGATATCCTGAGACACTAAGACAGTGAGACCCTGACACCCTGATATCCTGAGACACTAAGACAGTGAGACCCTGACACCCTGATATCCTGAGACACTAAGACAGTGAGACCCTGACACCCTGACACCCTGATATCCTGAGATGCTAAGACAGTGAGACCCTGACACCCTGATACCCTGACACCCTGATATCCTGAGACACTAAGACAGTGAGACCCTGACACCCTGAGACCCTGACACCCTGACACCCTGATATCCTGAGACACTAAGACAGTGAGACCCTGACACCCTGACACCCTGATATCCTGAGACACTAAGACGGTGAGACACTCATGCCCTGACACCCTGACACCCTGATATCCTGAGACACTAAGACAGTGAGACCCTGACACCCTGATATCCTGAGACACTAAGACAGTGAGACCCTGACACCCTGATATCCTGAGACACTAAGACAGTGAGACCCTGACACCCTGATATCCTGAGACACTAAGACAGTGAGACCCTGACACCCTGACACCCTGATATCCTGAGACGCTAAGACAGTGAGACCCTGACACCCTGATATCCTGAGACACTAAGACAGTGAGACCCTGACACCCTGACACCCTGATATCCTGAGACACTAAGACAGTGAGACCCTGACACCCTGATATCCTGACACCCTGATATCCTGAGACGCTAAGACAGTGAGACCCTGACACCCTGATATCCTGAGACGCTTAGACAGTGAGACCCTGACACCCTGATATCCTGAGACACTAAGACAGTGAGACCCTGACACCCTGACACCCTGATATCCTGAGACACTAAGACAGTGAGACCCTGACACCCTGACACCCTGATATCCTGAGACGCTAAGACAGTGAGACCCTGACACCCTGATATCCTGAGACACTAAGACAGTGAGACCCTGACACCCTGACACCCTGATATCCTGAGACACTAAGACAGTGAGACCCTGACACCCTGACACCCTGATATCCTGAGACACTAAGACAGTGAGACCCTGACACCCTGATATCCTGACACCCTGACACCCTGATATCCTGAGACACTAAGACAGTGAGACCCTGACATCCTGACACCCTGATATCCTGAGACACTAAGACAGTGAGACACTCATGCCCTGAGACCCTGACACCCTGATGTCCTGAGACACTAAGACAGTGAGACCCTGACACCCTGACACCCTGATGTCCTGAGACACTAAGACAGTGAGACCCTGACACCCTGACACCCTGATATCCTGAGACACTAAGACAGTGACACCCTGACACCCTGACACCCTGATATCCTGAGACACTAAGACGGTGAGACACTCATGCCCTGACACCCTGACACCCTGATATCCTGAGACACTAAGACAGTGAGACCCTGACACCCTGATATCCTGAGACACTAAGACAGTGAGACCCTGACACCCTGATATCCTGAGACACTAAGACAGTGAGACCCTGACACCCTGATATCCTGAGACACTAAGACAGTGAGACCCTGACACCCTGACACCCTGATATCCTGAGACGCTAAGACAGTGAGACCCTGACACCCTGATATCCTGAGACACTAAGACAGTGAGACCCTGACACCCTGACACCCTGATATCCTGAGACACTAAGACAGTGAGACCCTGACACCCTGATATCCTGCCACCCTTATATCCTGAGACGCTAAGACAGTGAGACCCTGACACCCTGATATCCTGAGACACTAAGACAGTGAGACCCTGACACCCTGATATCCTGAGACACTAAGACAGTGAGACCCTAACACCCTGACACCCTGATATCCTGAGACGCTAAGACAGTGAGACCCTGACACCCTGATATCCTGAGACACTAAGACAGTGAGACCCTGACACCCTGACACCCTGATATCCTGAGACACTAAGACAGTGAGACCCTGACACCCTGACACCCTGATATCCTGAGACGCTAAGACAGTGAGACCCTGACACCCTGATATCCTGAGACACTAAGACAGTGAGACCCTGACACCCTGACACCCTGATATCCTGAGACACTAAGACAGTGAGACCCTGACACCCTGACACCCTGATATCCTGAGACACTAAGACAGTGAGACCCTGACACCCTGATATCCTGACACCCTGATATCCTGAGACACTAAGACAGTGAGACACTCATGCCCTGACACCCTGATATCCTGAGACACTAGGACAGTGAGACACTCATGCCCTGAGACCCTGATATCCTGAGACACTAAGACAGTGAGACCCTGACACCCTGACACCCTGATATCCTGAGACACTAAGACAGTGAGACCCTGACACCCTGATACCCTGACACCCTGATATCCTGAGACACTAAGACAGTGAGACCCTGACATCCTGACACCCTGATATCCTGAGACACTAAGACAGTGAGACCCTGACACCCTGACACCCTGACACCCTGACACCCTGATATCCTGAGACACTAAGACAGTGAGACCCTGGCACCCTCACACCCTGATATCCTGAGACACTAAGACAGTGAGACCCTGACACCCTGAGACCCTGATATCCTGAGACACTAAGACAGTGAGACACTCATGCCCTGAGACCCTGACACCCTGATATCCTGAGACACTAAGACAGTGAGACCCTGAGACCCTGATATCCTGAGACACTAAGACAGTGAGACACTCATGCCCTGAGACACTAAGACAGTGAGACACTCATGCCCTGAGACACTAAGACAGTGAGACACTCATGCCCTGAGACCCTGAGACACTAAGACAGTGAGACACTCATGCCCTGAGACACTAAGACAGTGAGACACTCATGCCCTGAGACACTAAGACAGTGAGACACTCATGCCCTGAGACCCTGAGACACTAAGACAGTGAGACACTCATGCCCTGACACCCTGATATCCTGAGACACTAAGACAGTGAGACCCTGACACCCTGACACCCTGACACCCTGATATCCTGAGACACTAAGACAGTGAGACACTCATGCCCTGACACCCTGATATCCTGAGACACTAGGACAGTGAGACACTCATGCCCTGAGACCCTGATATCATGAGACACTAAGACAGTGAGACCCTGACACCCTGATATCCTGAGACACTAAGACAGTGAGACCCTGACACCCTGATACCCTGACACCCTGATATCCTGAGACACTAAGACAGTGAGACCCTGACATCCTGACACCCTGATATCCTGAGACACTAAGACAGTGAGACCCTGACACCCTGACACCCTGATATCCTGATATCCTGAGACACTAAGACAGTGAGACCCTGGCACCCTGAGACCCTGATATCCTGAGACACTAAGACAGTGAGACACTCATGCCCTGAGACCCTGACACCCTGATATCCTGAGACACTAAGACAGTGAGACCCTGAGACCCTGATATCCTGAGACACTAAGACAGTGAGACACTCATGCCCTGAGACACTAAGACAGTGAGACACTCATGCCCTGAGACACTAAGACAGTGAGACACTCATGCCCTGAGACCCTGAGACACTAAGACAGTGAGACACTCATGCCCTGAGACACTAAGACAGTGAGACACTCATGCCCTGAGACACTAAGACAGTGAGACACTCATGCCCTGAGACCCTGAGACACTAAGACAGTGAGACACTCATGCCCTGAGACACTAAGACAGTGAGACACTCATGCCCTGAGACCCTGACACCCTGAGACCCTGAGACAGTCGGTGCAACGCTGACACCCCGAGACCCTGTCTTCTGCTCGTCACTGCAGGCAAGTTGTGTAGTGAGCTCATGAGAAGTCTATTTATAAAGCGTCTCTCTGCATGACGATGCTCAGGGCCACATCCATGGCGTCACAGACCTCAAAATACCCAGGGCGCTTTGTTTCTCTGTGTGTGCTGGGTGTTGTATGTACATGCACACAAGCACACTCAAGCATGTGCGCACGCGCGAGTGAGCGTGTGGCTGTGTGTGTTCCGTGATTGTTGTTCCGTGAGTAAAAATCTCACGTCGGATTTCAACAGCCGCATACCGTAGTGCATATAAGATGGACTGCATCAGATTACATAACACTCTTGTCGTATTTTCCACTATTGATTTATATCTCTCATTTTATTTGACACCATGGCAGAATTGGTTTATTTTGAGGATTCCTGCCTGCCACAGGAATGTTGAAATTCCACATTTCGATGAAGGTGGGGGGGAGTGTTGATGGACATCTGTGAAAAAAAAGCTTCATAGCTCATTGGATTCCTCAAGTATGAAGAAATATTTACATTCTGATTCTGGTTCCTTGCTTCCTCTCACGTTCCTGATTCTCTTATTGCGATTCTTTTTTGCTGACCACTGCCCACCCAATCGGATGTGTGTTTATGCATTTGTACACAAACACATCATCATCATCATCCATGATCTATACACTGCTGGATGGATTCCCCCCCCCCTCACCATGTCTGTCATGTCAATGTTGTTCTCTCTCGGCCATGTGTGTGTGTGCACTCTCATGTCCTGTCCTGTCTGACCGGTGTGCCCCGTGTCCCTCTGCTGCTGCTGCTGCTGCTGCAGAGGGACCACGCGGAGGGCGTCGTGGAACTCTCCCCGCACTGTGCGATCGCCGACTTCCAAGTGCAGCGCAACTTCGGCTTCCAGATCAAGGTACGCCGCAGCCCGCCGAGGCCTGCCCGGCAGGCTGTGGCGTAACGCGCCGCCCGTCGTTTACACGTCCACCTGCCCACCTGTCTCAACATTCCACTCACCAGTGTGGGCTTTCATTTGTCCACTTGTCTTTTCACCTGTCTCAGTTTGCCTGCCGTACCAATCATCTCTCCGTCCGTTCGTTGGCACCTTCTCCTGCCTGTACGCTCTGCTGCCTGTACGCTCTGCTGCCTGTACGCTCTGCTGCCTGTACGCTCTGCTGCCTGTACGCTCTGCGGCCTGTACGCTCTGCTGCCTGTACGCTCTGCTGCCTGTACGCTCTGCTGCCTGAATGCTCTGCTGCCTGTACGCTCTGCTGCCTGTACGCTCTGCTGTCGTATCGTTCTAGCTGCGTAATCGCGTTCGAGCGACTGAACTCAGGATCCGAACCCAGAATCTCAGCGGTGGTGGCCTCAGCGCCGCTGGCTACCTCCACACACGAGCGGGTTTTAACAATAAAAAAAATCAAATCAAACGTTCGTTTCTCTGTTGACGCAGACGAAGTACGCGGTGCACACGCTGGCTGCCGTGACGCCCGGCATTCGCAAGAGCTGGATGGAAGCAATCAGCCAGAGTCCGGGGCTGGGTGGATCTGCCCAGGACAAGATGAGGTAAGAGACCCCCGACTCTGGTCAACGTCGACTGGGCACGCAACGACGCATCGATTCCCCGATTAACGACTGTCCTCGCGCTAACGACGCGCGCGTCAGGTGGTGCGTGCGGCAATCAATTTGCTTTCAAGGCGTACACTTTGTGTGGGGTGGAGCGGTGGTGAAGTGGATGGCGAGAACTGCTTTGTGCGAACCCTGAGATCCGAATTTGATTCACAGCCATTCATGGGGCGGTGCGCTAAATCACTGTGCCACCGCTGTACCGCTTATGGATGCGCGTTATCGCATTTCTCAAGGACACTCCTCATTTGGGCATGGATTACACGGTGGCTATGAAATGTTAACTGCCTCGCCTGGCATACAAGAGGTCGTGGGTTAGATCCCGACCCTGACGCCTGCTGCTGCTGTATATTTGGAGTTTGCGTGTTTCTCTCGCCGTGGTCACGTGGACTTTTCTCCGTGTCCTCCGGTTTTTCCCTCTACAATTAGAAACATACGTTTAGAGTATTTAGCTGCGAGAAATTTCCACGTGATAAGCCACATCGTTGAGCTGTAATTTGCGATAGCCAGGTCACTTCTGAAACAGCTACATAGCTCAGTGGGCCTTAACTGGTAATTTTTTTTATTTATTTCTGAATTTTTGCTTTGCTTCAGCTGCCATTGCAGCTCACCCAGCTGCCCTAGAGCCACACACAGCTCACCCTCCCCCCCTCCCTCCTCCACTCCCCTCACTCCCTCCACTCCCTCCCTCCTCCACTCCCCCTCCCTCCCTCCTCCACTCCCTCCCCTCCCTCCCTCCCTGCACTCCCTCCCTCCTCCACTCCCCCTCACTCCCCCCCCCCCACTCCCTCCCTCCACTCCCTCCCTCCCTCCTCCACTCCCCTCCCTCCCTCCCTCCCTCCCTCCCTCCCTCCCTCCCTCCCTCCCTCCCTCCCTCCCTCCCTCCCTCCCTCCCTCCCTCCCTCCCTCCCTCCCTCCCTCCCTCCCTCCCTCCCTCCCTCCCTCCCGTGCAGCTCGCCAGACAAGTCGTGGCCGGGGCCGCTCACCATCGTCGTCGTCCCGGGACGGCCCGGTCACATCGGCCACCGTTGAAACCAGGGAGCCGTCCCCCGACCAGGCAAGGAGCCGGCCCAAGGCACGGCTGCGCGAAGTCCGAGCCAAGACCATGGACTGCTCCGAGTTCCAGGCGGTGCACCAGGCGCTGGTTCGCTCGCAGCGAGGAGGAGGTGGAGTCGCCCACCACTCCGTGCGGTCGTCAGCGCCGCCACCCGTGAGGATGGACCAATCGGGCCGCTCCGAAGACGGCGGCGGCGCCGGCGTCGTCCCCGGCAACGGCACTTACAAGACGTACTTCCAGACGAGCCGCGCGGCCGCTCAGGCGGGGCCCCGCACGGGGCAGGAGGCTCCGCGCAACGCCGCCGCCGCCGCAGCGCCCTCCGACAGGTTCCAGCCCCGCGCGGTCGCGTCGAGGCCCGCGGAGCCCGACGCTCGCCCCGCGGTCGCGACTCCGCAGGGCCAGAAACCTCCGCACGTCCGCTCGACCCCGGGCCGGGAGGCCGGGGGCGTCGCCAGCCCGGGCATCGCGCGCGGCGCGCTCAACCTGTCCGACGGGAAGCCCCGCGCGGTCGTCGCCACGTCCGTGTCGCAGACGCGGCTGCTGCCGGACAAGCAGGGCCCCGACCCGAGCTGGGCCCCGTCGGACAGGGGCCGCGCTGCGGGCGACGAGGCGGACGGCCCGGGGGACGGGGGGGGGCGGCGGCGGCCCGGCCGGGAGGGGGAGGCCGCGGGGGCCGCGGCGCCGCGGGCGCCGCTCAGCCGGGACGAGATCGAGCAGCGGTGGCGGCAGGTGGAGAAGACGCCGGTGCGGGAGGAGAAGCAGATCCCCATCGCCACCATCAAGCCCACGGCCTCCTCCATGAGCCCCGAAAGTATGGTGGAGCTTCTGCAGAAGGAGGTGCGTGGAGGCGGCGGGGGAGAGGGTGGTGCCGCGGTGGTGCTGGTGCCGCGGTGGTGCTGGTGCCGCGGTGGTGATAGCGCCGCGGTGGTGATGGTGCCGCAGTGGTGATGGTGCCGCAGTGGTGATGGTGCCGCGGTGGTGATGGTGCTGGTGCTGGCCCTTACTCTCCTCCCTTCACCCCAAGTCCTTTCAATTTCAAAAAGGGGGGAGATGACGGGAGAGGTAGAGACACGAGAAGCAGACGAGATGAGAGAAGAGAGATACAGACGAGACGGGTGGAGTGAAATGAGAGGAATAAGAGACACGGAGATGGTTAAAGAGACAAACGAGGGAGATTGAGGCTCTGTGCGTTTACTTTGTTTCTCATTATTCGGCATTGAATTTGAGCTGATATTTATTTGTGGGTCACGCTCGTAATTTTTGTTCAGGAATCCGGGGTCACTTCAGCCCCTTGGGACCGTTAGTGTTTCATTAGTTTGCTAAGGCCTAGCGCCACCACTGGGCACGCAGGCTTGACGAGAGGGGAGTGGAGAAGGGGGGTGCCGTCCAAATGGGACCCCCAGGTCAGGGCGTGCATGCGGGCATGTGTGTAAGTGTCGCCGTGTATCTGCATGTGTACGTGTGTGCGTGTTCCTCTGCTTACGTACGCGTGCCTGCCTCCGTGTGTGCGTGCGCGCGTGTGTGCCTGTTTGTTCCCCTGCGTGTGTGCACCTGCGTGTACCTGCCTGCGTGCGTGTACCTGCGTGCGTGCTGTCGCCCGGCTGCAGGTGGAGGAGTTGCGCTGGCAGTTGGAGCACGTGCAGCAGGATCTGCGGAGCTCGCGGGGAGAGAACTCGGCGCTGTTGGCGCGGCTGCGTGCGCTCGAGCAGTCCGAGTACCCCCCGGCCGGATTCGTCTCCCAGGTGATGCGGCGGCACGGTCGCCACGGCAACGCGGAGAGGGCGCCGCGCCCCCCGGAGGGGTATCCCGGCGGAGGACGGTGGCGGGGGAAAAATTAATAACGGAACCAAGTGGGGGTGGTTTATTTCTTAAGGTCGCTACGGTCGAGAATTCAGTGGGATTGTGTCAAAAGGGATTCCGCCTCAGCCGCTCTTGTCATCCCCCCCCCCCCCCGTTTGCAATGGTACGCTCCTGGTGGGGCGTCACTTGTGTGGCTGCGCGTGATCCGTGAGCGGGGCTGCACCCTGTGGTAAAAATCTGCACGGGCAGCTCAAGGACAGACGTCGCTCTTGATGGACAAGGCGGTGAGGCGGGGGAAACGCCAACATTTGGCTGCTGTTGCCAGGCAACAGGCGACCACAGAAACAACGAGGTCACCTCCGCCGGTCCCACTCCATGCGGTGGTGCGCTGGCCCATCAGGGGGCCCTAAGCAGAAATCATTTTAGAGTCCTCGTGAGATGACGGAAGAAATTTAGACGAGAGATACGGATGTAGTGAGATGAGATGGAGGGAGATTGAGAGAACATAGACATGGGAGAGAGCAACTGGCTTTTCGTTTGAATTATGTTGTACGTTTATTAGGATTATGAATTTGAGCGGATGTTTTGTTCACCCATCATTTTGTGTTTTCGTGAATTCCGAAGCCTCGTGAGCTGCTTGAGGTTCTAAGCTTTTGCCCGGTTTGCTGGTGGCCAGCTCCGCAAGCGGCTCGGCGCGCGACCCGTTATTACGACGTCGCCGTGGACGACAGCCTCAAGTAGGGCACCTTGCGACGGGGGAATTTTCCGCGCCCGTGGTCATCGCTGGGAATTCGATTTGAATGTGGAGGGCCACGTCCGTGACGTTTTCGCAGCCAGCGCTTGAGATTTATTTTTTTTATGTTTACCCCCCCCCGCCCCCCCCCCCCCCCCCGACGCCAGCACGGGCGTTAATTCATCTCACGGGGGAGCGATTGACGATTCCGCAAATGTATCTTCAAGCAGATGGCACCGTGATCTTCTTTGTTGCGTCCCTCGTAAAGGAGCGAGTGCCCCGTAATGACGTTACCGCTGCATGCAGCTCACGCTTGCATGATGGCCATGGTTGCAGCCGAGTTGTTTGGTTGGGGTTAGGCTTTCGCGAGCGATATTGTTAATAATGAATAATAAAGGTTTTTGGGTTTTAGTCACGTAAACACTCACCAGTGAAAAGTAGTAACTAATTGGCACGTTTTGTTTACGTGACAAACCTTATGATGGGTTAACAACACATTCATATTTACGTGATCTAACCCAACAACATACCCTGTATTATTTATTATTAGTTTGATGGCATTCAACTTAATGATGACAGACCCCTCACTCTGCAAATATACAGCAGAAATATGCAAACTAACTGGACAACTTCATCCATCAGGCACTCTTAGGATTTGAGGTAAAAGAAAGTAAGTCATAATATGGTTTTTCCCCTTTTTTCTGGCAAAAAAACTGAAACCTTTTTTACAAGGATTCATGTCTGCATTAACCACAATACCTGCAGTCAAAATGCAAACTAAAAACATACTATGATAATATTTGGATTGTCCTTGAAACTGATTGGTCCACACCAAGGGACGGCTTTCTTTTGAGCCTCGACCCAATTGGTGCTCGACCAGATGACGCAAAAAGGCCTTTTGGTGCTCGACCAGATGACGCCAAAAGGCTTTTTGGCGTCATCTGGTCGAGCACCAATTGGGTCGAGGCTCAAAAGAAAGCCGTCCCTTTGTGTGGAACAATCAGTTTCAAGGACAATGCATATATTATCATAGTATTTTTTTGTTTGAATTTTGACTGCAGGTATTGTGGTTAATGCAGACATGAATCATTGTAAAAAAACGGTTTCAGTTTTGTTGCCAGAAAAAAGGGGAAAACCCCTATTATTACATTTTGGTCCTGGCAAAGGAGGTCTAATGAAGAAAGAAAGTCGTTACATTAATGATTTGTTTATTTTCTTTCTTTTGTTACAAAATTCGCAAAGCAGTTTTTGCTGGCTTTGGGTCGAAAAAAATAATTAAATGTAACCAAGCATATGACCCGCTACTTTATTTTTTAGATGTCCTGCTGGAGAATCGTCCTCAAAGAGCACTAAATCACCGCCAATTTCTGAACGTTATTGTTATAAAAATCTTGCAAAGTGGCAGAAAATGACAGATACTGGAAGTTCATGCAAAAGACGACGCAAACCAAAATTTTTAGAAATTATATTTACATTAACAATAAATATGATGGGGTGGGTATAGATATTGTACAGTTATCTGTATCTTTGTCAGGCACATGGCTGTATCGACCTTTAAAAATGCGTCACGTATAAACAACGAATGCTTTTATCTCTGAGCGTGCCCAGCGGTTGATTTGTCAATCTTAAGCTTTGACATTCAGAAATGTGGATCGTGGCTTTAAACGTTTCTCAAGCCCGTGTCGGTGGGCTTTAAAGTAGCGCAGACAAACGTCTCTTTCATAATAACATCTCTTTAATGTTTAAAATGCAAACCTTTACGTGGCTCCCGTGGTTTGTTCGCAGCCTTTCGTTAGATCGTAAAGCACGGAAATGATTTGCGGGGATGCAAAATGTATCCGCAGGGATGTTACATCCGTGTCAGGGCGACCGTGTGGTGAGCGAGCGGTGACACTCGCTCGCCGCGTTTGGCGATTGATTTATAAAAACATTTTTTTATGAATTTTTGATGGTCATGCAAGAACCCAGAATACAAAGTAAATTTCAAAAAGTGGGGGAAAAAAAACCCAGCAGATAACGTGTAACGAACTCGGCGCAATACGCCCTCACAAACGAGGGATCGACCGGAGGCATCCCGGCTCACTGCCCTCCCCGCGGTAGGGGGTAAGGATCGGTAGTGGCGCGTTCGCCGATCGTTGAAGAGGTTTTTTTCCCGGTTCTAATCCAGCGGCCGCCCTCGTTATTACTGCTGATGTAAAAATACCGCCGACGCTGCCGACGCCGTCTGCTTCACAGTGCACGTCAAAAATTCCCTCGTCACGTCATTCGCAAAGGGCGTCGGCCATTGTGCTCCGGCGACATTGTCCAAATAAGACCACATTTTTTTTTACAAATTGCACCGCAAATGGATCACCACCTACGTCAAACAAAGTAGCAGGGACCTCCTGAAAAAGAGTCATGAGGCTCAGCGAGGCTTCCCTGGGTAAACGAGCGTAATTATATATAAAGTTGTTGACGTGATCTCTGGTCACGCTGTGCGTGTGTGGCCTGCGCGCAATAGGCCTGTGGTTCGCACCGTACGTAGCCAACCGCGCTAATCGGAGCGGCCCCCCCGTGATTATAGAGTCAGTGGCATCAGTCCAGTCGCCAGTAAACGGACAAACTAAACTCGTAGCAATAAAAATTATAACTTTCACTTAATCAGGCGAATTTCCGGCTCGACTGTCACGTGACACTCCCACAGCAGAGTGTGTAGGAAGTGTGTCCACTACTATTTGAAGGTCAAATAGGCCACTTGAGGGATAAATCCTGTGACGAACGTCCTGTTGCAACCATTCTCCGACACGCGGGAGGGCACTGTCTTCATCACGTGACACCGAGGGTGCACCGAGTATGGAGTGGGGAAACAAGTCCATGAAATATCATCAAAGGATGTTGCTGTTATTCATGGTGCAATGAGGTCCCCCTCCCCGTGAGAACAAGGATAGTGATGTGGAGCAGCTGAGAACAAGTCACATGACTCGTGTCTTCGTCACCACCACCACCACCATCATCACTATCATTACCATCTGTATATAAATAAGTGTCAACTGGCACCAGGAGGAACTTGGGAAAAGCCAATTTGCTGATTTGTTGATATTTGACAATTGCACTGGATTAGTGTCATGCCGCTGTGTTGCTCAAAAACCTACAGATATTTTGCGATCGCTCTGGCGGGCCAGGAGACGATCGAACTCTCCCTTTGCTTTCATTTATGGGAGCACACCGAAGGTCCCCCTCCCAACCCCCCCCCCCCCCGTTTGTTCTGGAATAATAACATTGGAGCTGCTTGACCACTAACACGTTCCCTTCATTAACAGAAACATTCACTAACCCCCTCCCCCCAATATGATTCTTCTCAAGTTAAACATCGGCGTCGCGGCAGCCGATTACCAAAGCCGGAGGAGCGGCGGCAAGGAAGGCCTCTTAGAGCACGGCGCGCGGCCGCGGAGAAGCCTCACGGGCGCGCAAATCCATCACGGCCACGAGGAGCCGGCCGCCGCCACCAGCGACGACGACGACGATGAACGCTGCGTCCGGGCGCCGGGCTCCCGTCCGTGCAAGGCCGAAGCGCGGCTGAGGGAGACCGAGGAGGCCCTGGTGCACAAGACGAAGGCCTGCCTCGAGCTGGAGGAGGCCGCGTCCTCGGCGCAAGAGCGCCACCGGCTGGAGGCGCGCCGGCTCCAGCTGCGGCTCGACGACGCCGAGGAGCGGCTGGCGAGCGCCGTCCGGGACCTGGCGGCCACGGAGCGGCGGCAGGCGGACGGGGCGCTCGCGGACGCGGAGCGGAGCCGGCGGGAGGCGGCCGAGGCCGTGGCCAAGGAGGCGGCCGCTCGCCGGCTCGAAGCGGAGGAGCGGCGCCGCGCGGAGCTCGAAGAGCGGTGCCTGCGGCTCCAGACGGAGGTCGCCCGCCTTGAGAGCGAGAGGACGAGCATCTCGCAGGAGGAGGCCGAAGTGGCGAGAAGCCTGGAGCGGAAACTCGCGCAGAGCGAAGCCTCGGCGCTGGCGCTGTCGCGGCAGCTGCGAGCGGCCGAGGAGGACAACGAGACGCTGCGGTCGCAGAAGGAGACGCTCGAGCGGGAGCTGTTGGACGCGCGCCGCTCGGACGCCGGCCTGGCGGGGCCCGAGGAGAGGCCCGTCGTGCAGATCGACGGGCAGCCCATGGAGTGGCTGGACAAGGAGATCGAGCTGCAGGATCTGGCGGCGCGCCACCGGGCGGAGCTCCGCGACACGAAGGCGTCCTTCCAGAAGGAGGCGGAGCGGCTCCGGGCGGAGGCACGCCGCGCCGAGGAGGCGCTGAGGGCGCGGGCGCTGGAAAGCGTGCAGGAGATGGACTCGCTCACCGTGTGCATGGAGGCCATGCAGCGCAAGCACCGGGAGGAGCTGCGCCAGCGGGAGGACGACTTCCGCGAGGAGCTGTCGCGTCGCGACCGCCGCCTCCAGGAGCTGTCCCGCGAGGCCTCCGATCGGCACCGGCAGGAGGTGGCGGCCCTGACGGGGGATGCTCGGGCGAGGGAGCGGCGGTTCGGCTCCGCGCTCAAAGCGCTGCTTCAGCAGCTGCCCGGTTGGGAAGAGAACGGCCCGGCCGAGTGTCGCGCCGGCCGCCAGTCGACGGACGAAACGGCGGCGGATGACGGCGGCGATCTGGAAAGCGCCCACCTCGTCGAGCTCCTGGCCGAGAGAGTGGAGGAGACGCTGCGGGAATTCGGGGTGGCGAAGAGGGAGCTGGAGCTCCTGCGGCCTCAGGGAGACCCGGCGGCCCTCAGGGACGCGTTCCAGCGTGACCTTGAGGAAGTCAAGGTCGTGTGGCCTCTCCTGCCAGTCGCTGTAGTGTGTAGTGCCGCCGCCCCCATGTGATTGCGGTTTGCCTTCGTCCGCATTGCAACTCCATCCATTGCTGTGTGATGTGATTTTGATTGTTTTTGTGGTGTTTTTTTGTCCCCCTGCCGCCGGTTTTTCATATCTCTCTCTCTCTGGCGACAATCAGAACACGCCTTCCACGTTTACGCTTCCCTCGTTTCAACTGCCATTTCGTTATCTTCGTGTGGCTTCAATCATTTTTCACCGTTGGCTTTTTCATTTCAAAGGCAGATGAACATCAATGGATCGTTTTGTGTTTTTGTGAGACTGCCGATTGTGTCTCCGGTCAACGTGGCTGCATTCTCGGTTTGCTGACATTCGCCTGTGTTCATCACTAGGCCCGAACGAAGCCTTTTTTGCAATTGCAATCCGCGCTGGGTTTATTTTCTCATGAGACGTTCCATGTTGTTGGCCCCCACGGTTCGTGTTTCCAGCTCTGCTTCATTTACCTCCGTTTAACTACTGGGCGTCTATCAAAAGAGAACTTGATAGCTCATTGGATTCCTCCAGTATAAATAAATATTCTGATTCTGATATTCTGATTCTGATTCTGATATTCTGATTCTGAAGTACAAATTTGAACCGTTACAAGCTGCACGTGCCTGGTTATTGCTAAACGTGTTCCCCCTGACGTTAGTAGAAGCGCCGAGATTGGGATCTTGTGAGTGTACGCGCTTGTGTACGCCTGTGTATGCGCGCGCCCTAGGTAATGCGTTGGTCCAGCAGCGTTCTCTGTCACACGGGACGATCGTTTAGCGATAACGAGGCACGTGCAGCGGGTACCCCGACTATATTTACATAACGGAGAAGGCTCGTTACCGTGGGAAGCGGGACCGTGGTGGGCCGTGAGAAATTATTCGCCAAAAGGGGAGTTTGAGAAACCCCGTTTTGTGTTGCAGTGCATAATTCTGTTTTTAGATCTCATGTGCACGCGACACAATCACAAGGCCGCTCGTGTTTGCTGTGCGCTGTGGCGATTGGCTGCCAGGCGCGGCCCGGCCCCTCAATAACTCTTCGATTGCAAATGGGCGAGTCGCTCCCTTTTAAGAACAGTGGCCACGTTGATAGGTGTATGCGCGTGAATGTGTGTGTGCGCATGTGTGTGTGAGTGCGCATGTGTGTGCGTGTGTGTGCGTGCCCGTGTGTGTGTAAGTGCGCTTGTGTGTGAGTGCACCTGTGTGTGAGCGCGTGCGCTGCCTGGTCGTCGTGAAACCCCCGCGTCAAGTGAACTACAATACGCGACGGAAGGTGACTCCTGCCTGATTTTGTTTAATCAAATTAAAAAAAAAATATCGGCAACACACTGAGACCGGATTCAAAAGGGGGAGGTCTCCCCGCGATAGCGCGACCGTGGGCACGTCGCGACGCAGGCGTTCTGACGGTGATATCCCCCCTCCCCCCCTCCTCGGTGTTCCGCTTGTCGACAGGCGATGTGCGAGCGCGGCCTCGCCGCCATGGAGGAGTCCCACCAGCGAAGCATGGAGGACCTGCAGCGCAAGCACCAGCACGACATGCAGCTGCTGCGCCAGCAGTCCGAGCAACTGCTGGCCGAGGAGACGGCCGCCACCATCGCCGGTGAGTCGCGGCGTCGGCACGGCGAGGAGCCGGAAGGGGGGCGGGGGGGGGGGAGTACAGTTCGAGTCGCCACCTTTTCTGCTTTTCCCAGGATCGTCCTCGTTTTGAAGTGGCCGTCCTGGGAATTCGGTCACTTTAAAAGTTCCCAGCACCGCTAGAGGCTCCCCCGCCTGGCTGGGGCAGCGAGCCCAATCCACCAGTCCACCAATCCACCCCTCTTCACCAAAGCCTGCTGCGTCGATCTCGGACTTTTGCTGGCGGGATTTATGCTCTGCGGTCGGCGCTTTGAAATAGAAACATAAAAAAAGAAAGTCCCCAGCACCGCAGCTGCTGCTGCTAACGCCGGTAATCCACGGTGGCCCTCATGGCGGAGACGCAGTCCCTTTTGTCCACTCCGGCGTTACGCCGGAGGCGAGTTGGCGGCGACGATCGTGACGGACGTTCCACGTCGCCCTTTCCGCTGTCGCCCGAGCGCAGCGCTGGAGGCGATGAAGAGCGCGCACCGCGATGAGTTCGAACGCGAGCTGGAGAAGGCGCTCAAGTCGCGGCACGGCACCGGCAGCCAGGACGCGGAGCTCATCCGCAAGCAGCACGAGTGAGCGGCGCACTCGCACCGTCACAACCGCACCGTCACAACCGCACCGTCACAACCGCACCGTCACAACCGCACCGCACCGCACCGCTCGCACGAACACAACCACCAGTAATGCTGCTCGCCTCTCCCCCACCACCGCCCTCTTCTGTGTCGTGTCACCCTTGATAGGTTCCGTCCCGACATAAGTTTCTCCAACAGCCTGTGAAAAGGCCATTTGTGTGTGTCGGGTTCCATTCCCACTCACAGCAACCGCCCGTGACAATTATCTGTACCGGTCCAGGGCCTCCTCTAAGTCTACTCAGCCTAAAATTATCACCTGGTGCGGTTTGTAAATATCAGCGCTAGGGAAGGCAAAGGCGGCCGGGCGTGGTGCTGACCACCCGCCCCCTCGTGTGCCGTGCCGGCCCTCATTGGTGCCGCTCGCTAACAGCGCTCGCCCCAACAGTCTGTGTTGAGGCTACGCGGGTGATGTCTGTGTGCGCAGGGAGGAGCTGGCCTCTATCCAGCGGGAGCTGGGCGTGCTGTCCGAGCAGTACTCACAGAAGTGCCTCGAGAACTCGCACCTGAGCCAGGCGCTGGACGCCGAGAGGCAGGCGCTGCAGCAGTGCCAGCGCGAGAACGAGGAGCTCAACACTCGCTGCCAGGTGGGGGAGCCCCCCCCTTCCACCCTCCCCTTCCCCACCCCTCCACCCCTTCCCCACCCCCCCCTCCCCCCTTCCCCACCCCCCCTCACTCCTTCCCCACCCCCCTTCCCCCCCCCCAAAAAGCGAGGGAACCAGGTGATGGCCCCCCAACAATGCCAATCTAGTTTTTCTCGCGCACGAACAAAACGAGATTGGCATCGCGACGACGATGGGGGCGCCGATAGCCAAGGCTCTCATCAGCACGCGTGTCGCGCCGACGGTCGTGGTGGACGTTGAGTGGACGTAGAGTAGACGTCGGGTGGACGTCGGGTGGACGTCGGGTAGACGTCGGGTGGACGTCGGGTGGACGTCGGGTAGACGTCGGGCACGGCGGTTCGTTGTTTGCGCGAGCGTTGAGCGCGACGCTTCGCCGCTCTTCCCCCCCCACCCCCCCCGACCGGTGTGGCCCACCAGGAGCTGAACAAGCGCCTGGCGACGGAGCTGATGCGGATCCGCAGCATCGTGACGGGGGACAGCAACGGCGCCGTGCCCTCGCTGGCACCCGGCAAGGACACGTACGAGTTGGAGGTGAGCTAGTGGGTGAGTGGGTGAGCGAGCAGGTGGGTAAGTGGGTGAGCGAGTGAGCTCACTTCCCGGTTGCCCGCCTGCCCGCCGCTCACCCTCGCCAAACAGCCAAGCCCGTGGCTGTCGCGGTTCTCACCACGCCGAGCGTGATGAAAGTCCCAAGGTGCAGAGTGTCCCGTGGGTCGGGGGGCCGGGGTGGCGAACGAATCCGCGGGGTAGTACGTACGTGTGTATGTACGTACGTATGTTGAACTTCTTTTGTACCGTACGTAGCGAACCGTGCTAATCAGAGGTGCAGGGGAAGGACAACAAGCTAAACACCAAAAGCAGTTCTAAAGAAATGTCGTTTTCAGTCTAGATGATTTAAAAGTGCATAGCTCCAGTAGCTTCCTAATATTGTAAGAAAGAGCCTTCCAGACGGCCGCAGAAACGCATCTGAAAGCGCCACGATGCGGTGACCAGCGTATTCGATCGATGGCTGAACCAAAATCTGCTTCAAGGATGACCGGAGATCGTGTTATGGTCCCTTGGCGAGTTCAGCGTGGTAACCCATGGTAACCCATGGTGGCACAGATCAGCGTGGTACCATGGTAACCCATGGTAACCCATGGTGGCTCAGTGAGCCCTGTTGAGGTGACAGAACGTGCATAAAAACGATGGTAATGATGACGATGGTGGTGATACTGCTGCAGATGATGCTGATGACGATGACGACTAAAGTCAGATAAGCCGAAGTCGGGGTGGTTGGTGGAATGGTTTTGTTTAATGGACGAGGAGCACAATGTTAATATAATTCACCAACGTCACCGTCGCAAACAAGCACTGTCTTGAACAGTGACAAATTATAAGCACAATAATAATTATAATAATCTTACCGCTCTTTATTTACCCAGGAAAATCCTGAAACACTTTTTTTTTGTTTAGCGTACCCACAGCGCAACTTTCTTGCGCCCACAGGTCATGCTGAGGGTCAAGGACTCTGAAATCCAATACTTCAAGCAGGAAATCAACGCCCTCAAGGAGGAGCTGCAGTCGGCGCTGAGGGTGAGTGCACGACTTGGTTGGGAGGTAGACCACAACACCTGCTCTGGCAGGTGTTGTGGTCTGCTCTGGCAGGTGTTGTGGTCGTGGACCTTGTGGACTCATTTCTTTGTTACAATTAACTTTTTTTTGTCGTTTGTGCCTTTTTGTTTTGGTGCCATTTATTAATTTGTTCATTCATTGTTTATTTTGCTTGGTAGTCGACGGGTTTTCATTTGCTCGGTGAGTGTGCGTGTGGTGGGCTTCTTTCGTGCCGTACGAAGCCAACCGCATATATGGGATTTGGTCCTTATATAATTAATGTACAGCGTTATAATAATAATGAAAGTATTATTATTATTATTACTACCCTGGCTGCTTGTCTCATCCTCACATCGTCATTCTGGCCTCTCACCCCACCACTCGCACCTCCGATTAGAACGGTTGGCTACATACGGCGCGAAAGAAGTTCAACACTTACACCACCTCTGATTTCCTTTGCCTGTCAGCGGCTCACGACGAGGCCGCGGGAACTTCTCCCACGTCTTCCCCTCTCTCTCTGGTCACGGCAATCACTTCCCTGTAGGCCCACGTCCATACCTCTTGAGTCCACCTTCACGCCGTCGACCCGCCTGTCGCGTGGTCGACCCGCCACTGGCTCCTTCCACGTGACAGTGCGAGGCCGCCGATGGGAGGAGACACGTGGGCCTCCGTTCTTCTTGCACTTCCAAGCCGGCGACGTCTCCCTCTCTCTCGTTGGCACCGGAACCCTCTGCTGCCTCAGCCTTTCTGTTACTCTCTCATTCTGTGCATTTTCTCGTCTCGACATTCCCACGATTCCTTCTCAGGTCATTCCTGCTCCCAATGTCTCTCTTTCAACACTCTCGCTCTCCCCGTCTCGCCTGAGCGTCGCTCGCGGCTAAACAACCCGCACCGGCCCATCCCGCCCGCAGGACAAGAAATACGCGACGGACAAGTACAAGGACATCTACACGGAGCTGAGCATCTCGCGCGCCAAGGCCGACCTGGACGTGACGCGGCTCCGTGAGCAGCTGCAAACGATCAGCCAGGGCGAGGAGCGCGCCGGATACGGTGGGTGGTGCCGCGGTCGGTGCCTTGCGCCGGGACACGCACGGGGAGGCGAAAACGCCGTGCGTGGGACCGTCCCCGCGAGCGCCGATTGTCTCGTGATGGGGCTTCCCCCCACCGCTTTTGCCGCGTGCAGACATCCTCAAGTCGAAGAGCATCCCGGACTTTTTCAAGACGCAGACGACCTCCAGCTGCAAGCGAACGGTGCGGAACCTCCGCTCCAAGGTGCGTGCGGATCGAACAAAAGTAACAGCCAACGCCTCCGGAACTTTAGTTTGTTAGATGATATTGGATCATCACAAGTCATAGAATACAAGGAGTCGAACGCAAGTATGTTGAAATGCTTCTTAAGAAATTTGAGCTTGCATCTAGGTGATGATAACATGTTGTTGAAGGCACGAGTTGGTGGTGCACACCTCTGGTCCAGCACCGTGAATCGTGGAGATTTTGGAAATGTCCAAATCCACTTGGCTGCCAGATGGCTAGCAGATGGCAGTCGAGCAAATAGGTATCTGGAATCCCTCTGTGCAGAGCTTTTGAAGTGTTATTCCTTCACGTGGAGGTTAGGATTAGGCTACTTCGATGTCACACCACATGCAAAACACTCATCAATGGAACTGGCCAAACATACCAAAGCAGGACCCTCCTGAAATATAGTCTTGAGTCTCAAGTTTTCTTGGATAAATAACCGGAATTCACATTGCTCCTTCAGCTTGCACGGGCCCAACTTGATTAGCCTGCCATCATTGGTGCAACCTGATTGGAAAATCCCATCCTGATCGGCGGACCCTCATTAGCGCTAGTTGGAGTCTCCTGATTGGCCCATCTGGGCTGGCGCGTCTTGTCCGTCGCTGCCTTGACCCGCCGCCCGTTTGCTGCCCCTTCCTCCCACAGAGCCTGAGGGAGGGCCTCTCGACGCAGGAGCAGAAGCAGCTGTTTGACGAAGCCGAGGTGCAGCAGTGAGGCGGGGGGGGGGGGGGGGTGCGGCTCCCGTTCCCTCTGCACCCTCGCCGCCGATTGGCGGGCCCACGGACGCGAAGGGACGCGGCTACAGACGATCAACACCCCGCCTCCCCCCCCTTCCTTCCCCCGCGGCGCGGGATAGCAACCCCTGTCGCCGCACCAGCCACGGCTCCGGAAGGGCGCGTCGCCTCGTCCCTTCGCCTCGTCCCTTCGCCTCGTCCCTTCGCCTCGTCCCTTCGCCTCGTCCCTTCGCCTCGTCCCTTCGCCTCGTCCCTTCGCCTCGTCCCTTCCGAGATAGTTTTGACGCACGGTGAACGCGGCCGCCGCTCTCTCCCTCCGCTCCGACTGAAGCCGGCCAGGAAGAGCGCCGTCTCGTCCGGGCCTGCTGTGACGGAGGTGCCGGCAGGGCCGCTTTGCCGGCTCCCTGCCGCGTGGGCCCGGCGGTCACGGTGTGCGAGCGAGGCGTTCCCGAGGGTCCTTGCCATCGCGGTGCGCGCGAGGCTGTCGGGCCGACGGAGCGATCCGGTGAACGGCGGCCTGCGTCCGCGCGTTTAGCACGGATAAAGCCCTCGCGCACGGGAGCATTGAACTTCGCGTGGTGCAATTTAGGTGACCAACACAGACCCGAGCTTGCATTCAGTTTGTTACTTACCGGTGTTGTTCATGTGTTATCAATATTTGACAGGTCAGTGTCAGACGTACAGGCGGTGACCCTGTTGGCAACAACGGAATAAACGCGCCTCCCCCCGCGAGCCGCGTGCCGTGTCGCCCCGAACGCCGCGCAGGGTGAGATGGAATGTGAGAGGGGCGCTTCGGCGAGACGCGTTCAGGCCCGACAAGGTCCACGGCCGCTGTCACGAAACGCTCGCGCAGCCGGAAAGAGGGGGGGGGGTGGAAGGGGGGGGGCAATGCGGGGGGTCGGGGACACGCGGGGGGGGGGGGGGTGAAGTGCCTCGAGATGAGTGTCAAGAGTCGTCGGGGTGAGCGGGCCGGGCAGGGTACAGCTTTATGAGTTGGGAGCCGGGGGAGCCTCCTCCCCCCCCCGGGGCTCGTTGCGCACTGTGGAGAATTTCGCACAGAGACGCAGCGACGCCGCGGCAGTGACGGGAAATGTTCCACTCGGCACCCGTTGCCGTGGTCTCCGCCGCGCGCGCGACCAGGCGACCTTGCACGCCAGACGGTTGTTCGGAGCTCCGTAGACGCCAGGGATGAGTTCTCTCTCTCTCTCTCTCGAGTGCGCGCGAATTGCACGGGGGCTGGGAACGTTCTGCACGCAACGCGGGTGCTCGTGTGACGTGCACGCAAGGCATGATGGGAGCCGTGCATTCCCCGCTCCGTTTCAACGAGCACCGCTGCGCGTCGTCCTTCGTGTGCGTGCCATTCGGGCCGGCACGACGGGGCGGATATTTTACTCGCAGCGCCGGGTACTCATTTATGGCCGAGTCAAGCTAGGTGGGGCCCACGACAGGTTTAAATGGCACTCGCCACCAATGTGTCGGCCAATTATCGGGACTCAAACTCAGGTCACTGGGTTCGTAGTGCATTGTGCTAACCATGACAACACGCGCACAATACGGAGTACCTGTAACTTGGCGTCCTAAAACACTGTTGTGCTTGTGTTGTGACCTTTTGCAAAGATGGCACAATTTGTCCACCCTGTATTAATATTTGCGTTTAAAAAAAACGGGTGGTGGCATTCACAAAGGGAAAGGTTTCAGTTCCCAAATGACAGTTTCTACTGGTTCGGGAAAGTTTAGTTTTGCTGCAATGTGTTTATATTAAATATTATATAAATTAAGAGTCACTTATCTTTTGTAACACATAAATTTGTACGTGTCATTCGAAGCAGTATTTATAAGAGGGTTTCTATGGGAAAATTATTGCATGACATTATGGTGCGTGTGTTTGAAGGACCTATATAAAATATGAATTTATTGCAATACCGTTTTAAGATGATCGTATAAACTGGTGGTGTATGGCCATATTAAAGGGTGGCCTAGGAAGAAGTCTCCTGATACACGTTTGATGACAAAAACTCACTCAAGTCAAACGTCACGTGACGGTGATACAGAGCTCTTTGCAAGGGGTCGGGTGGTGGATCACTCGAGGATGGCAGCACCGGCTTATCTCCCTGACATTCAAATGACCGCACAAAGCGCAGCCCGCAACCACCGGGACGTGTAAGCCCTGCGGGCGCGCGCTCCCGTGCCGCTCCGTGTATCCCCATCGCGAATGAAATAATTCAGCGCGTTTGCATTTTAGCTGCGGCGGTGCGGACACAGGCCTGGGTGTTCTTCTGCACGCCGGCGTTCACTGTCCGGTGTCGGGAGGCCCGGGGGGGGGGGGGGGGGGGGCACTCCCGATGAAGGCCAGCGGTGAGGGCCTTCGTTAGGAATTTGTATTCCGTTGATCCCCAGCGCCCTCTTGCCGCCCCTTTGAGGTCGCCCTTTCAGAGAACGAGACAAAACGGTGCCATGTCCGGACAATGGAGAGGCCGTTCACTGCGCGTCTGGTGACGCTGTTCTACAATTTACCGGAGCTGTGGGTGAGGTCGAGGGGAGGGCGAAATTTGTCAGCCCAAAGTCAAGGGCAGCCCCTTGACGTGGGGCTGAGTTTGTTGGCCAGTGCCGGTTTGGGTTAAACGTCATCGGTTTGTCGAGGTTTTCTTGAGGTGGAAATCAATCGCTGGAGAATCTGAATGGGGGAGAGTTCATTGGTTCAATCCCAGGTGCCAGTATCCACGGTCGAGTGTGGTGTCGTCCACTCCAATGAGAGGCACCACGATAATAATGTCTTCTTCGTCTTCTTCTTCTACCCATGACAGTATCACTGCGTCTCATGGCTCATTCTTAGGGGAGTCCTGCTGTGGGATGTTTGGCCAATATGCTTTTGATTTAGTTTTTTTGTGTTCAAGTGGGTGAAAACTGGGTTAACGGCAACAGCACATGTACAGGAAGGGAGAACACTCAAACTTCACATGCGTAGCAAATAAACCTGGTTTCTGTACTGCATTATCCTTTTAAGGTAGCAGTAGCTCAAACTTTGTTCCATAACCGCCAAATCAGCGCCACCTGTTGCGCGAGTCCTCTCAACGCCACGATTAAGTGTGCATTGGTATCGTGCCGTCGTTCCAAAGATTCCAAGGCGTGCTTGCTGGTTAATTGGTTTTGTGTGAACTCGAGTCCTGGAAGCGTGGCTGTACGTGTGGTGTTTCACGGTGCTTCTTGAAGCTTCGCTGCCGCCGCCGCCGCTGCTGCAGTGGGACTGTCCCCTCGAATGTTGTCGCTGCCCAGAAGAGTGAGTTCCAGACGCAGCTAAACCCGCTACCGCTACGACGCTGTTAATGTTTGTACATACGTATGTACGTTGGACTTCTTTCGCACCGTACGCGACCAATCGTGCGAATCGGAGGTGCGGGGGGGGGGGGAGAAAGGACAATAAACTAAACACAAAAATCAGTTCTAAAGAAATGCGTTTTCAATCTAAATTTTAAAGTGCACAACTCCAGTGGCTTCCTCATATCGGAAGGAAAGTTTTCATCGCTTCCTTGGGTTTGGCGTGGCACCCGAACGCAGCGCGCGAGGATGCCGCTCCTCGAGGGGCTCATTTCACGAGTCCCAAGCGCCGGGCTGTGATCCGTTTCGTCGCGCAACGCCGGCAGCCAGCGACAGGGACATCGGAAGCGACGGGAGGGAAGCGATCGCTTGGGTGGCCACGTGATGGCTCAAGCCAAGTTGTCCGGGATCCCCTCTGCAGCTTGTGGAAGTTTTCCTTTGACATCCCACGGAGGATCGCGCGTCGCATCGGTCCCATCCGTGACCCGACTGTGCTCTCTGGCCAAGTGTCCGGGAAACGTCGGAGCAGATGGGGGGACTGCGCTCAGAAATGTTAAATTGCCGCTTTGCGGTGCGGCTTGAATGTGGTTATCGAACGACAACCGGCTGGCTATCTGGCATCTCATTTGATATCGTCAAATTCATTGCCGCAGCGTCAATAGGCCGTGTTTGCGCTCTGGAACCGACTATCATTCACGGTTCATTATCAGATACTTACACAGGTACCGGTATTGAACTGCATTCGTACATACTTCCAATAATCCAGTGTCTCTCGTAGAGGAAGATGGATGCACGGGCAGCATACATTTGTGCATCGTCAGTGATTTAATGGCGGTAGTCCCCGACCCATGGAGGAGGAGATGATGACGACGACACAGACTGGTGAGACGTACAGAGCAGCGAGATCCCGATCCTTGTGGAGTTGCGGGGGATGCATCCGGTGACATTCGAGGTGCACTATCATATTTGTACAAGTTGCTTTTGATCAGGGAAGACTCTAGCCGAAGGAGGGCAGTGTTCAAATTCGACATTCGGATGACGGACTCGGGATGTCGTCATCGGCGTGTGTCAAAAGCCACTGAAATGTGAATTGCAATGAGCACGGCTGGCTACTTGTCGCAAGCTGCGTGAACATTGTTTTCTAGTCCAAGCAGATCCAGGCGATGAGCAGGGGTCTCTTGATGCCATCAGATGTGGCCAGGGACGTGTTCGCCGTTGGCCTCTCAGCCACCTTCGAGGTGATGGTCGCTTGGTGTGGTTGCGATCCAGAGCTGCCCTTTGCGAGAGGAGCCGCGAACTGGTGCCACTTGAAACGAACCAGGAAGCCTGCCCGCCCTCTTTGGACGAATCAGGTGACGGCTCGGTGCACGTCCGGCGACAAGAGCTCGACAGTCACGTGGGGACTGGCGTTGAGAGGCGACGGTTCGTTCCTTGGGCCTCGCTTGCGATCGACGTCGTCGCTTCGGCCGCAGTCGCAGCGGCGAAGGCTGACGGATCGGGGTGTCGGCCAGGAGACCGGCCCATAATTCGGGCCGGTGAGGAGAGAGACGATCTCGGAAACCTCCGATATTGTTGACCGAATCTTGTTGCTGAAGAAAGAGGTGAAGACACCGGCTGAGGTGGCAGCTGCCTTAGTCACTAAACACGCTCTGGCGTGCTCACTCTTACGTTGAAGCTACGTTGACATCTGACATTACCTTCGGGTTCCTCGCCATCGCCTCAACCTGCAGCGAGTTGAGGAATCCTGGACTCAAGTCACC